CAGCCCACAGTGAGGACCAAAGGCAGGAAGGGGTGGGGTCCCAGACGATGCCCATCAACACCCTCCAGAAGAGTGGAGAAAAGCAGAAAGACAGTCCAGTCAAGAACAAGGGTGGGAGGCAGCGTCTCAGGGGCTACAGGACGTTTCTTTGTCTGCCCTTAACTTAGGATTGAATTTATAGGGACTGCATAGATTTACTATGGCTAAGTTCCTTTTCAAACATGGTAAGAATTTCATTTAATAACTGTGTAAACATGAAAAGTGTCTTAGCAAAATTAATTAAGATTAAGTCAGTCAACTAAAAATTTCAACGAATGGCATGACCACACATAGCCTGCCCGGTTGGCAGTACAGTTCTGCTCATCTTCCTGCATCTGAACTTGGGGTTTTGCAATTAAGTTTAAGAGCATATGTATTTTCATTTACTATAAAAACAGAAGAGACCACCCTAAGGGCGCCAAATTGAATCCTTTCCCTCCATGCCTGCATATGATTCCCATTACGGTTATAATTACAGCTGTGATTATACTTATAATTTACATTTCAGAACCCAGAATGTAATTTGCAGAGTTTCAAATTGCAGACCAGGGGTACCTCTTTTTTTCCTCTACAAATGGCTCTGTAAAGCCTATTATTTTGTAGAAGAATAGGAAGATTTCAAGTGCTCTAATCCATTTGCTAGCTTCATGATCAATATACAGGAAAAAGGAAGCAGAAATTCCACAATGATTGAAACATTTGAAATAGGCTCAGATACGTGTGTGTCCTTGGATGAATATCAGGGAACAATGAAAAGAATTGTTTCTGTTGCTCAGATCTAATAACTGCAGCCTGTAATATATTGTATGTATATGTATATGTATACATGTAGCTGTGGGTGCATATATACATGTACACATACCTGTGTATGTTTTTTACATTACAGGAACATATAAATATACACACAATGCATATGCATTTTTAGCTAGCTATATACATATATAAAGAAAGGGAGAGAAAAAATAACATACATCCAAACACCCAGAATCACAGAAGCGTTGTTAGTTACATCATGTACTGAGTTTAACAGTTGTAGGAAGATTAAGCCACATCGATCACTCTTACTTACTTAGACCTGATGACTTGTTTCTATTACAAACTTATGTTTTCCTGGTATATTTCTCAGCTAGATAAAGATGGGAGTAGGAACCAGAGGATGCAGGCACCAGTCCTCTGTTTGGTGAGGTGTAGGCTGAGGAGACCCCCCAGATCCCCTGGAGCCCACTTCCCGGTCGCTGCAGGCTGGCAGGGCATGCCTGTCCTGCACGCATGGCACTGGCTGTCCAGACCCACACCCTGACTTTCTTCCTCCCCACTTCTCTTGGTCTCGGTGCAAATCCCACTACTCCTGAGGACCTTCCCTGGCTCTCAGACGAGGAGGGAGGCCTCCAAAGCGCATACTCCCACGGCATCTACATATCTTCTTCACAATCCCTATTACTCCTGGGGGCATTGTCAATGACTGACTTTGGCGGGCAGGGAGAGAAGATGGCCTGTTCAGGTTTGGTTTTCCTCCTCCCACTGGGAAGCACCTGGAAGCTCCGTGGGGGTGGGGGCTGCGTCTGTCTTGTTCAGGACCATTGCAGTGTCAGTACACATCAGTTGATGAATTACTTAATAATGTAAAATCAAGTGCTTTTTAGGTAGGATGCTGATATTGTTATTCCTATTAGCAGCAGTGGTAGTGGTGGACGTAGTTGTAGCAGTTGAATTTATTAGCACCATTGTCAGCACCAAATATATGACAGAAAGAGAACCACAAAATAATATGAAATATCATCCATACTGATTGTAAACTCTTCCCCCCCAGCCCATTAACTAACAGAAACAGCTGCATGACTAAATGGCCATGTAAATGCAGCCCACAGTAATGGTTCCAGGTACAATATTTTGCTTCTGATGCACCAATCCATGATGCACAATGAGTGCCACCGGAGAAAAATCCAAAGAAAGAGAGGGGGAGATGCAGGCAAAAAGCCCTTCCCCAAATTATGAAGAGGGGTATGAAAAGCTGTAAAAAGCAGCCCCTTGGGAAACTGTAACTGAAAACAAAAGAGAGTGAAAAACTAAAGTTCTCAAGAAGGAAGAACCAGTTTTCTGTTCCCATGATGGGGTGGCTTGATTTTTTCACCTGGAAAGAGGGAGATGGAAATAGTGGAAATGGTAGGGGCACTGCTCTTGGGGAAGGTGATGTGGTTTTGAGTGAGAATGACTGACTTTTGGGGACAGGGAGAGAAGAGGCCAGTGCAATCCACCAAAGAAAGGAAGTGCATGGCTTTATGAGGGACTCAGAGCAGATGGTCAATCCAGGATGTGCCCAGGCCAGAGACCAGCTGGCCCATACCCTGGTCACTTCCCGGACTCGGGGACCTGCCTGCAGCCCCACTGCCTTGTGTTTGCTGCACACGCACCTTGGTGAGGAAGCGCCACGTTATAATACGTCATGCTGCTCAGAAAGCTTATAGATGCAGAATGACAGACAGCCTACGCAAGACAGTCCTTCCAAGGTGCTCGTGAGGTGTTCAATTGTGATCGTGTGAGCCTCACCCAAGTAATTCAGGACTTTATAGAAGAATATTTTTATAAAATTTACTATAAGAGAACTCCTCACTGATTCAATACGGCTGGCATGCAATTACCTGTGTGCATTCATTCACCAGAGACTGACCACAGCCGTACTATGTACCAGAAAAAAAAAAAAGGTAGGTCCTGGAATACAGGATGGAGTAAAGTGCTGTCCCTGACCCCAGGACCTTACATTTGGGCAGATCTAGAGCTTGCAGAGCTGTTGATTTACTGGCAGAAAATAAAAGTTGAGCGTTTGCTGGCTGAGTTTTAAAGACGGCATTGTTCCGCACCTGGAGGCAGGCTGGAGCGCGTCCCTGGGGCTTGTTGACATCCACAGCTACCAGCTGCCACCCGCCAGCGGCGTCTTCGTGAAACATCTTCAAGACAAAGAGGGAGACGAGTCAGCGACACTTCATATGGAACACGGAGCACTCCAGCTCATGTCTCCAGCTTTCTACATTTCTTATGTTATCAAAACTGTGTCTTCTTATGAACTTACGTGTAGAACATGAATCATTCCAATCTATGTTCATTTTAACACCGAAAACTTAGGTGACTAATAAAAATAACAAGAATAACGGTAATGGTTTGCATTTGCTGAATCTTTGCTAGGCATCCAGTTTTTGCTGCCTTACGTATGCTTTGCACATAACGGCCCAAGAGTCTTTCCCACAAGAATTTAAAGTATTTCACCCCCTTAAGTTGGTTATTGATTATTACATATTAGATCTGGAAGATGAAAATTAGAATTCCAAAGCATTGTGTCTGGTATGCTTTTACTTGAAATGGTGAACTTTTATCTTTATTGAGTGGACATTCTTCACAATAGGAAAATGTTCCAGGGGTAATGTAACATGTGTGTGTCACACAGGGAGAGGGGGTGGTGTTATTCTAACTGTAGGGGACGGACACATCACTTACTAGGCTTTGTGACATCATTTTAACTAGGCCACAGTAATCTCAGCAGAACTTCTGTGTATATTATTTATGAAGGGAAAAAGTCGTTTCTTTTGGCTTAAAATATGTAAATGATGAATTTCAGGACGGTATAGTATACTAAAATCTGATATTCATCAAATTAGATATCTAGGTTGTTATTATCTGACTGCATATTCCACTACCTCAAAAATTAGTTATCTGTCAGTATCACACCCAGCTGGAAGACATCCCCCACTTATAAATATTTTCCCACTAATATATTTTCTTTCTAATTCCCTAGGAGTTTGTGTATGTGTGTGTGTGTGTAGAGGGGTTTTAGTGAAATAGGATAGAATTAAGGATTTTTATTTTCCTGAGAAACAATACTAACTACAAGCACTTACTGTTTTTTTCCTGCCCAAGGTGGCTGGTTCATACACCTAAGTAACATTTCCTTTCCTTACTTACATCTCATGTTAATATGACCCTCTGTCCATAAGGGTAATTGATGGGAGATATGAGATGATGCAAAAATCCCATTACCTAGGACTTATAACCATCATTTCAAACTCCCCAAAGTAGTAGTAGATCAATTATAGAAAGAAAACTTGCCCTCTATAAAATATGTGAGAGACAGGTGCCCAAATTCACTGGCCATACGAGCATTTTTAAAAGGACAAAATGGAAGTGCACATTTACATGAGGATTCTTTGATTAAACATGCCAATTACAAATTGTTTTCCTCAGGTGTCCATTTACAGGATTCTGATTCCCTTTTTAGAATTAATTTTAAAAGGCATTCTTAGTGGTGGAATGAAGCCCATCCCTCATGACTAAGGGGTTCATTCTCAGAACACATACATTGGTGGAAAGGCAACTTGTTAAAATGCCTTTTAAAGTTCCTGTCAAAATTCTGGAAGTCTCCTTTTAAGGACGGAAGACAAAAGCACTCCTGCCAGTCACCAGCTAAAATCCTCCTGTACCGGCATCCCATATGCTCTTATCATGGCACAAAGGGTCCCTGGGGCACAAATTCGCTTTGACCAGTAACAGACTAATTTTCTTGTTAAATTATTTTTTTCCAGTTGGCCAAAATCAAATGAATCAATTTAGTTGTTAGTAAAAGTGTTCTCTCAAGGTCACTTCTTTGTGTGAAATTAAGTGAAGGAAATGAAAACACGTTCAATTTCTCTGTAGTCACTGAAATTTAAAACCATTATATTGGAAAAGGTAACAGTAGCTATGTGAGGTAGATGGTGGGATGTCTGAAGCCAGGATTCCTCAGGAACTCAGAGTGCTTAGGAGACTGTTTGCCTCTCTTCCATATCTTTTCTCCCTGTCTTCCAAAGTAACATAATCTTAAAGGGACCACTAAACCACCCTACCTCCAAACAAAAAATGAATTATTTCCCTATTTTGAAGCTCATCTTGACCATGTATTTACATACTGGCTTATAAGATGTGAGTAGAAATTTTTTCTGTATTTTTCCTTCCTGCTCTCTGGAATATGGATGTGAGGGTTAGAGCTATAGCAGCCATATTAGTCCATGAAGCAATTTTGGGAAAGGGGGCTATCAAGGTGGAGCAAAAAGCTGCAAGGAGTCTGGATCTGTGACAACACAGACTACTATACTGACCCCAAATAACCTCCTATAAATTTACATGAGAGAAAAAGGGACTCTATTTTACATAAGCCACTTTTTTGGGGCTTTTTGTCCTTTGTAGCTGAATTTAACTCAAATAGTATAAATGGCTTCAGTTTGAATGTCCAATGATTTCTTTCATTTTAAAGATATAACTTCCCCTATCGTTATATAATTCACACAGTTTTACTATCGGATATTAAGAAAATGCAGATGAACTGGAAAAATATCTTAAGCCCATCTTCCAGGCACAACTACTACTAACATTTTAGAGTTAAACTTCTAGGCATTTTATGCACACCCATACACAAACATGAGACCCCTTTTTCTCATCAACATGTTGTCTGCATATATTCATGCCAATAAAGTTAATCATGATTTAATGATTTGCCCTGATCCCAATATCATAATTTATAATCAATAACTTATTTCTAGAGTTCAGATACTTTACTTTTTGTGACCAAAATGCCTCCATAAATATTCTAGAGTGTATACACCATTGGGTATGGTCCAATAATTTTTCTTAGGCTAAACTTCTAGAAGTGGAATCTCTCACTCAATTAGTTTGTATATTTTTAAGGCTTTTGTTATGTATTGCCAAGATGTTTTCCAGAAAAGATGTTTCAATTTACACTTTTAGTAACAGTATATGAAAGTTCCCTTTTCTTGACCTTATAGCCATCAAGAATACTATCTTTTTTAAGAAAAGTGAACATGGGGCCAGAACAAAGGTAGTATGTTGACAGCCAGGCCTGCAGTGATTAAATTAAAAGGAGGAGGATCTCAGTGAGCAAAACTGAAGGCTCTTGCAGTTGGATGGTGTGGTTTTGAGTCCCAGTTCTACCACCCATCAGTTAGGTAACATTGGGCAAAATAACTTTCTAATCTGTCGTCTTTTCATCTGCAAAGCAGAGACAGTTATAGGACCAACCTCACAAAATTATTGTGAAGGTTAAATAAGACTGCTTGCAAAGTCATTATCACAGTGCTTAGAGAACTCTCAATGTATGTCAGCTATTGGAACAAGAAGTTACAAATTAGAGGATGATCACCTATAGCAACATGAATGAATTTCTATGAGCACTCCTCTTTTAATACAATCTTTTAGAAACTCCTGGACATTTTAGTCTTGAGAATTATCTCAGACTTGTCCTTTTGCAACTGCTGAGATTTTATAAAGGGTTACTTGATTTACACAGTAGCTAAGATTGCTTTTGAGGTTGTTCTACTACAGTAACAGTAACGATAACAGATTATCTAACGTGGGATGGTAGAGAAAGAATCCTGCTAACAGAGGTAATCATTAGCAGCTCAATTAAAATTCTAAACTCAACACACACACACACACACACACACACACACACACACACACACACACACACACCCTTAAATTTATCTTAAAATTCTTAGGCTCTTTGGATTCTTTCAAAATCAATTGCATTTTAAAAATAGACAATAGTCATTATTACACAAAATAGTTACTTCATTATTAAGTGATATATTCAATGACTCAGACTCACAAATTCGATTCTCATTTATGGCTCCCTATTATTCCTTTACTATGGAATATGGTTTCTTGTTAGAAAAAGCTCACCATTGTACCATGCTAGAATAGCAGTCCTTTCCAGAAACTGCTTTCATTAAATTGCTTTCTCACTTATTTTAATGACATATATTCATGTGGAAATCAGTGGGCTTGGAACACAGCAAACACATTTTTACTAAAGTGCTGTCTTTGAGCATGTATAATCTTCTTGAGGATACATTCTATTTTCCATCATGTGTCTATTCATTTACACATTTCTGCTTCTTAGCCCGGCATTGCACATTTATGCAGAATTGCTTAGATAACTGTGGGAACCCATGTTCTAAGCATGTTCATGGAAGTACAAAGGAGAAATTTCTTTTATCCTACACCAACTCTGTTTTTATCAGTCTTCTATCTTAGGGGATATTAATTCAGAAAACAAGGGCTTGAAGAGTGTGCAATCAGAAATAACAGCAGGCCCCAAAACTATTGATCTCCATCATATTGACTTATGATCCTATCAAGACTATGATGATATAAAAGTTAGGTGTGCACGGATTGCCAGAGCGTGCCTTTCCTCCCTGACCACTACGCACAGAGCAAACATGCAGCCTCGTGTGGCCCTGAAGTTGATGAGCCACTTCAGTTCTCTAGGCAAAGTGAGAGAAGCGGTCTAGATCTGAAGATCACATGCCTGGCGCCAGCTTCTTGAGGGGCAGCATCTGAGGAACGAAACAAAAACTGGAGAGATGCTACGCCCAGGACATTTTCTAGCCCATCACACAGCCCAGCATCCAGTTCTGGGGCAGCACCCCTAAAATCTGTGGCATGGTGGTCCTACTGTGGACTCACACAGGGGCCAGCATATCCTGGATGTACGAACACACAGCTGAGCATGTGGCAGCAGCGACCTGTGTCCAGTGATAAGGCAGGTACAGAAGTCACCATCCCCATCAGAGTCCAGGCAAACGAGTGATTACTAATCTGAAATATTCCATGCCATTTCCTTTTGTTTTCCTGGTACATGTTGTGTTATGATCTTTCTAGGTCCTTGGGCATTAATTTTTATGTAATTTGTTTTTGTGTTGTGACTTGGAGGCAGGTTGCTTTGTTATTAAAAAACAAAATGGTTCTCATCTCTGATTTACTTTTTGCCTCTGAATGGCCCGCATCAGAGCCAATTCCTACTGAACTTGCCTAAGCTGTCGGAAAGCCCCTTGCTGATCCTGTTAATGTGTATAATTTTTTTTTTCTACACACAAAGCCCTTCTGGAAAGTCCATGGGCTGCAAGACATCAAGTCCACCAAGCCTGGGACCCTCTCAACCCTTCTCTGAGGACTATTTACACAAAACAACTGCAAATATTCCACATTGCTGGAGAAGGGCAAAAAAATGACTCCATTTCTGAAAAGCTGTGTGCTTATAATACAATAACCATCTTCATTTTATTTCCTTAATGCCTACCTGTTTTATTAGAATTAGAAACTTATGATTCGGTTTTAAACCACTGAATGAGAGGTCCTTGTGTGCAGAGTTCTGTCAGATTTTACAAATGGAACCGAATCACGGCAAAGCACGTCTCTCCCTTCCTCGCACACAGAAGCAGCTGGGCCACTCGCGACTGGCTGGTGGGAGGCTGGGCGGGGCCTGAGGCCTGTTGCCAGGCAGCCCAAGCGCTGTTTTACCGAGATGCTGTTGCAGGAGCTCCGGTTGCTTAGCAACCGGGTCCTCAGCCGTAGCATTTTTCTTAATGAAGGTTTTTCACAATTCTGTGTGATTACCGCTGCAGAATACCTAGATGCACTACCTCTGAATTACCGACTTAATTTTCTTGATTAAGTACAATTTGGCATCAAAACAATTTTGTACAACTTTGTTCAAAGCCCCTGCACATTTCACTTCCCATCAGAACTGCTGGCTGATTCCTGGTGCTTCCAAACACTCCTTTCCCAGCTGTGGCTTTACAGATAAGAGGTACTCGGTACCAACAAGCATAATAGGGTTCCAAGGCATGTTAGATCCCCTCTCAAGAACACCAAATGTAAATTCTGTGCTGAGTTCACAGGTCTATGTTCCATTTAGTTCTTAATGCCCATATTGAGAACTTAGACATTGAGCTTGTCACCCTACTTAAAAGACATGTCAGAATGGACTTGTAACTTTATTATTACTCATAGTTCACTAAAAGAGGTGAAAGGAGAAATAGGAACTAGATGTGGTTGACTCTTTTAAGGTTTTCCTACATGCCATCTGTGGCATACCCTATATGTCATTTTTAAAAAAATCGTTCATTGAAGTTTAAATAGTGTGTGTCAAAATTGAATAATGTTAATACTATTTCATCTATAATGAGTTGGTGAGACAGTTCAAGCTTTCACAATATTATAAAGGCTTTCCCAAATATTAGAATGTTTAATAGCAGTTAAGAATATACTTATGAGTTCAATGTGAAGATTGTCAAAGTAAAGTTTGTACCTTGTATCTTTCACAAATCCTTTGTCCCAATAGACCTGTATGAGTATTTACAAACTCACATTAAATTTCTCTTAAAGTTTAATACTAAAATAATAGCTATAAGGCATTAATGTAATTTCCTTCTTGATTCTGGAGTTTTTGTTTTCTCTCTCTTTTATAAAGATTCATACCAGAAGAAGAAATATAAACCTACCCTTCCCCTTTCTAAACACCAAAATAAATAAAACACACATGCAATAAAAACAAAAATAAAAACAAAGACATTGGATCTGAATTGTCCTCTTACGTAATAACTGTCCTGCTTCTTTTAGTCAAATCCTAGGGTGCTTCCAATTTCTGAATATGTAGTGAGTCCTCAGAGATCACAGGCATGCGTCTGGGGTTGAGGAATCCTCTTCATAGTTTACTTTAGTGATAGGTTCATTCTGATGAAATATATTTTCCATGCCAAAATTTCTAATCCTATACATAAGGGCCACTATATTGGTTTTCAATTGCATGAATAAATGTTTACGCATATGGGAAATTCCGCAGTTTCTGCATTTGGTCTGCAAGCTCCTTGAGGACTTGTGAAGGCAGAATCAAATCAAAGGCACATTATAAACGTGGTGACGAACCTGGTTTTGTAGCAAACCGATTCATGGAGCTTGTAAAATATAGATGCCCACACCCCATCACCAGTTTGGTTTGATCTGGGTCTGGGCCTTTGCACCCATATTTGTGAATAGCTCCCTCCCTGAACCTGACAGTAGAAGGCCATGATAACGGGGCTTCCTCAAGTTCTGTCAAGTCCCCCTGAGTGTGAGGATGGGTCTGTCAGTGTTCAGGTGGGCTACAGGGTCATCTCCTGATACTGTACCTGTGTGGTGGCTGTTGAAGTAGTACTGCTTCTCGATCCCCACATTTGTTGAAACTGTACTCTGATTTCTGCAAATGTTTCAATGATGACAGCGATAAACACATTCTGAAAGAAAATTACAAACCTCGTTTATCAAAGACTGGGAAGGAGGAAGCAAGGGGGGGACAGAAAACACATAAAAGATCTGCAAGAATGGTTAGAAAACACAGGTTTTATTAGGACAAATTTTTAAGTACCTTGACAAGCCAGGCAAGAAAGAATATGAGTGTGATGAAATAGAAGTAGGAGCGCCAGCGGGGGAAGCTGTCGATCGCTCTGTACATGAGGAACACCCAGCCCTCCTGGGAGGCGGCCTCGTAGACTGTGAAGATGCTCGTGCCTGTCAAGAGGGCAGAGAGAAGACTGAGTTATGTGGACTCTTCAAAGGAGAAAACATTAAAAAAAAGCAGTCAATATCTATCTATGCTCATTTTCTCAAAGACTAACATAGCTTGTAAGATTTTATTGTTCTTACTTAGAGTTTTGATCAAGTTGTTCCTGGCTTCAAGCCAGGGCAATTTCAGTATTTCCAGCAATAAAGTAACTTTATATCTTTAGCCATAAAGTGCATTTAACAATGTGGAAAAGGAAATGAACAATTCAACCGAGTAAAGGTATCATAAAAAGTAATGTGTCTGATGCAAGCTTGCTACTTGGAGGCTTAACACTTCCAGGTGCTGAAAAATCCTTGGTATAGTTTTAATCAAAAGGAAATAAATCTGAGAACAGGGCTTCACTTGAAGTCACTTTCTCATAGGGAGACTAAAGTATCTTAGGCTCCAAAAATTGATGAGATGGGGCTTGTCTTTGGCTTCCAAGGTGTTTACTGAGCACCACAATGTAAGGCAATATGTCATCAAATAATGCTTTGTATTGTCTGGGAGAAAATGCTGCTGATGATGGGAAGAAAAAATGAACAATAGGTGGGCAGATTTCTGAATGTGTGTTGAAGATGACCTAAAACACCACTCAGGGAAATAAGGTGCCTACTTCTCTTAACATGATGAGGGGTGTTTTATAATACCCCATGTTATAGATGGGAAAACTGAAGCATGTAGAGGGAAGATAATTGTGTAAGAAGGCACACATAATGATAGGGGAACCAGATGGACCCAGTCATTCTAGAAGGGGACCTGCATGTATGATCATAAGGATATCCTGCCTCCTGACATCCTTTCTGTGGTTTAGCTTCCCCATCTCTAAAATGGGGAAATAACAACACAGACCTCACAGTGTGTGAGAACTAACAGATTTCATTTCTGTAAAGCATTGACAATGGTGAGCACCTAATACATTTCAGGTATTATTATAAAAATTGAAAATAATTGCTTGATAGTATTTTGTGGGAAAAGACGTAAATAAAAAAAGCATAGTCCTAAGTTAAAGTTGCTATAAAACAAATATGATATATCCTGCTAGTCTTAGAACTAGTCAATGTTTGTACTTCAGTAACTTTCATGGCTCTGAATTAATTCAATTATTATAGGATATAAAGCCAATATCCACCCATACATGTTCTTATCACACAGGAATTTACAACTTTTATTTAAATATGCATACAACCAAAGGCCCCAAGTGTGAAGGGGTGACTGAAGTTGGCTGATGGCGCCTGCCTCTCTGAACTTGGGCTAGCAGAAGAGTAGCTGAGCATGATGAATCCCAAAGCACACAGGACAGCAGGGAAGCCTAGCAGGCATGGGGGCAAATGGGAGATCCAGGCTTGAAAGAAAAGCTGAGAGAAAAAAGGTAAGCAGATTCCTATCTGGTGAATGTCCATTATGCTGTGCAAAGTACTTTTTATCAAATATAACTTCATATAGCCATGGTGTCTCATTTTAAGAATCATATTTTGCACATTGGGAAGTAGTTGACATAGCAACTTAGTTTTGTACATCATATTAGGTTTCAAGGCTCTTACGTATACTTAGATGCTAAGGAGAGCTCACTCTAATCAGGCAGGTGGATGGGGAGGTGTGAATAAAGGCAGATATTATCATTCACATTTTACAGAAAAGGAAGCTGAGCTTGCCTGGGGAAGAAGTGATAGAACCAGAAATGGACCCAGTCTATCAGGTTCCAGGTCTTAAACTCTTTTTTTCTTTACCATGTTACTTATATTTTCTCTTGCTTGAGCCTAGGGCTTTAGAAAAGAGCTTATTTTCTCTTATTATCCTTCATTTGCATAAAGTCCACTTTTTTCTAAGTGTTCATGGCAGCTTAGTTTATAGTATACAGAGGTAATCATGCAAGAAGTTGACTTTTAGGAGAAAGACTCAGAGAAGAACAGCATGTTCATAAAATAAAATGCCAACAGAAAACACAAGTGGCTCTTTCCATTAATGATTTGTGCATACTCAAAGTGTACATTATTTTTGCCTTTGTGGACTATGAAGAACAATTCCAACATAAAATGAGTAATTTATGTCCCTTGTTCTCTTCTAGTTATTTGAACTGAAACACAAATGTGGCCATAGAAATCCAGTGTGATCACCATTGAAGTTTAGTAGCGTCACCAATTCAGCGTTTACAGGTAAAGCACGAGGACCGTCATTCTAAGATTGAACTCAAGAGAACGTTGAGATCACCCTTCTTATCTGCCCAGCTCCTTTGTTACAGCTACGGGGAAGGTGCTATTTGGAGGTACGTACAAAACAGTACGTTCTCATCGTGACGCTTTTATTCCATATAATTTGACCAGCAAAAAGGAAAGAAGTAGGAACCCACAGTGTGGCTCAAAGAACAGGATTTGTTGATACAAAGAAATGAGACCTTGATGAACATGTAACCAAAACCTCCCCAGGAGAATACTGACTATGGCAGCAAGCTTTTCCTGCTTGTGTGAACTACGCGGGGCCACAGGCTTTGAAGGTGCGGCTCAGCGTGGCCGGAGCAAAGCCGTGCAGCCAGACAGGCCCGCCTCTTGCCTTTCTGCTCCTGACTGTATACAAAGGATGGGAAAAGAAGATCACCTATGAGAAGTTTTTCCAACTGCTGACCAAGATTTCAGCTGACAAAAATCAAATTGATGATGGTCTTATTTTCTCAGGGAAGTGGACAACCCTGAGGAAGAAACTGTCGCTGCACAAACGTGCTTTGCATGTCCTGCCCTCTCTGGCTGCCCCCTGGTGCTGCCCTCTGGCCCTCTGAGCTGACTCCACAGCAGCTGCCCAGCCCAGCGAGCCTCCTTTGCCCTCAGGCCACATCGGGTGCTGGTCCTCCACCCTCCCAGCAAGCCCTGAGCTCACCTGTATCCTGTCACTTATCACACTGACTTGTGACTTCATCTGTCACTCTCTCCAGGGTGAGCACTCTAAGTTAAAAATTTATCTTTCACTTCAGTACCTGGCAATGAGAAGCACTCAAGAATTGTTGGTAAATTAAACAATTATGATACAATTAAGACCTATGAAGTTTTTCCCAAATATTTGCTTTCTATCAATTCTTTCTCACCATTGAATACTGCACAGATAACTGGAAACAAAGAGAATTATAACTGACTTTACGTTTTCTGTTTGCAAAATTCATTCATAACACACACAACATACATAAATTTTAAAGCCCATGCTACATATAAACAGGAATATCTTTCTCTATTGCTTGATCCAATGTGAGAAATCTCTGGAAAATATTATATTTATACATAAAATATATTTTTTCTAGAAACACTTCAGAATACTTCTACTCCATTTTTACCATGGAACTAAAATTTCTACCTGAAAAGATCATTTTGTTAAATGAATAATGATTCTACAATAGCACATGGGAATAGAATAGAGCAGCATTCTCTTATTAGGAAAACAAGGTGGACTGCTCCAAAAAGATCTATGGAAAGTTGCCAAATAGCACAACTTTCTTAGGCCCTATACTTCCAAAGCACAAATTCAAGTTGTATAAGAGACAAAAACAATGATCAATTCTCCTAATTTCATTTATTCTTCTTGTCCTCTTCTATTGGTAGTTTGAATTCAGGGTAAGACGGCCCATTAATCTGCACTTAGAAAAAAATACTCACCTTGGAACTTTCTACAAACTACATGTATTGAGACATAGAAACTTTTTTTTATAGCTCTGAACAAAATTATATTCCCATCTGTTTTGACTATCTTTAGGACTGTATTTACTGATTGACTATCTTCTGCTAACTCTTTCTATGAAAAAAAAAGTGAAAAATTGACTATGTCCTGGGAATATTCCCTATTGTTTCTTCTAGCAAAAGGTTACAGAACACTGAGTTATTCAGCTTTCAGTGACAGGGCCAAGGAATTGTGGTGATAACTAATAACAAAATTACTAACCTGAAGTACCACCATTAAACTCCTCTCCAAATACAAAATACCTGGGGTGCTGTGCTAATGACGCTGATATCCAATCTATTGTGAAAGAACTTGGGAAGTCACAGTTGGCGATATAGGCTTGAGATACCTGAATAAGAATGAGTAAGTACAGCGGGCCTTGGAGGGATCCATAACCTTCACTCCCACACTCAGAATTCCTAATAGAACCAAGACGGTTCATTTTAGGACCACCCATTCCATCTTCCCTCTCAGTATTGGGATCCTCAGGGCAATATTCCTGAGTTTTAATCCCTCTAGTGATAGGGAACACCGCCTCCTAAGGCAGCCCCATCCCAAGTCAGGCAGGAACCTGTCCCATTGGATGTTGGCCTGGCTCAACCCTTTGGAATCTTCTTGACTTTGCAAAGTAAGAAAGGTACAGGAGTTGGAAGCAGTCCTGACAGCACCTTGACGGAGTCATCCCTCATTCTACCTAGGTCACCCTGCTACAGAAACCTGTCTTTTCTCATCCTTTAAACCTTCCAACCTGAAGTACTTTTTATGAAATTGACCTGATAGTCGGCCTTCATCCCATGTGGGAACAGAATCTCACATATGGAGGGAACAGTAACAACATTGCTGTCACTCAAGAACACTAGTCTCCCTCAAACTATTCTAAGTTGCTCTTCCTGTTCTTCCAGCTGACTCTGGTTGGATTTCATCCTTTTTGGAAATCAGCTGACAACAACCTCTACTGCATTCCAGCTTGAGCACCCCTCTCATTTGCAAGGGAAAAGAAATAGACATGTTCCTCCAACATTACACATGAATGTCTGTGATCTCTTGGTGCCTCAGTGAATTGCTCTTAACAAGTAGATATAACTGTGCAAGGATAAAGTCTCCATCCTAAAAGCCAAATGGATGTTTATTTTCTTGACTACAGTTGCAATGACTAAATATTCAATCCTGAAAGGTGGTCCAATAAGAGAACACATGTAAAGAGCTTGATCTTAGCATATTTCTATTATTAGAAATAAAATCTGTTCAAAAGGAGGTGGGCTGTGCT